CCAGGGGCCCTCGTGAAAAGCAGGTTCCCAGGCGTGAGCCTGGTGATTCCGAAGCCTGGGGTGGGGCCTGGAATCTGCCTCTTAACCAGCAGCCTCAGGTGACCCCACTGCAGCTGGTTTCAGAGTCAATGATGAATTCCCTGGAGAACCTCGGGCTCTCTGCCCTCACCCCAAATTCCGTAGAGACCCCAGGGCCATCCTGGTGTGTGGGCAGGGAGGGCGCTCTCTCCTGGGAGGGGAGACTGGGCCTCCCAGGTCTGGCCCCGCCATCTGCATCCTCAGCCTGTGCCCCCAGATGGACAGGTTGGGGGTTGGAGAGAACGGCATGACCCACTGCTTGTGGGGTGACCTCCACGTGCTGGGAGCTATGGCTGTTTCTCGAGGCATCCCTAACCCGATGGCTGACAATGAATGACAGTTGGTCCCCAAAGGGGGCTTCCAAGGGGGTTTTCCTGCCTTTTCACCACGTTGGGGACTCTCTGAGCCCCAACTCAACAGATACCAACAGCTGGTGATTCTCGGGGTAGGAGAAAAAGCCCCTAAATGTTCTGCAACGGTTTCTCACCTCCACCTGCCCCCGCAGCTCCTCCCAGGCGGCTGGGGCCCAGCTTCTCAGTATGACACTCTTTTGTGCCTGGAGCCAGCTTTGGGTTAGAAGAGCCAATAGCCTTTCTAGGAAACCAGGCTTTGGTGGTTGAGTCATTATAGTGTGAAGGGTGGTCCAAGGCCAGCAGCATCAGTGTCACCTGAGAGCTTGTTAGAGCTGTAGCACCTAGGCCCCACCCAGACCCCCTGCCCGCTAAAGACGACATTCTAGCCCAGTGGTTCTCAACCTTGGCTGCACATGAGAATCACCTGGGAATCTTTTTAAAATCCTGATTTCTGGGCCTCATCCTCTGGAAATTCTGTTTCTTTGTGATGGGGTGGGGCCACAACATTAGTAACAAAGAAACAGAATTTCCGGAGGATGAGGCCCAGAAATCAGGATTTTAAAAAGATTCCCAGGTGATTCTAATGTGCAGACAAAGTTGAGAACCACTGATCTAGCCCCATGTACCCTCCCTCCACACATGCCCGAGGGCCTTTTGTGGGTCAGTTTATTTCATTTATTAGGGGATGAAGGGGAATCTACCCAGAGATCAGAACTTTGACAGCTCTGCTTCCTACTCTCCTCCTGGCACATCCCAGGCCGATCACTAGGGGGGCAGCAGAGGTTGAGTGTGTCAGATGCTTGTGCCCGCAGCCCTTCTCTGGGTCACCAGGGGTGGGGGACAGGCCCCTGTTGCCTGTGGCAGGAGGGCAAAGGGCAGGACTAGGGTGCTGGCATCTGAACTCTCAGCTGGGCCAGGAAAGACTTTCAGGTGGCTAGCCTTCCTTCCTGGGAGGTACCGGGAAACACTATCACTGCCAATAGTAGTCACTTTGTGCTCAGTATGTGTCTGGCACCCGGATGCATGCAGCTGTCACTGTGGTCAGCGGTGATTCCCAGGCTGTGGCTGCAGCAGCGTCCGCTGAGAACGGCAGATTCCAGGACCCCACTGCAGGCTTCTCCATCTCCAGGGCCAGACCCAGGAATCTGCTTTTACTAAGGAGCCTGGGAAATTCTTGGGATCAGAGGCTTTTGGGAAACACTGACTTCTCCAAACTCTGAGCGGGGCTGCCCAACACTGACATTCATTCATTCACTCATTCGCTCATTCACTCGCTCATTGGAAACTTATGGAACATCCACCTCATTCACTGATCCAGCCCCTGTGTTCCTCCCAGGATCACTGTTCAAGGTGCCCGAGTCCCCCTCTGAGTCCAAATCGCCCCCTCCCTTCCACCGCTCTGTATGCACCCCATCTCTCCACTCCCCTGAGAACCCCGGCCAGGGGCCCTCCAGGCCCCGCCCCATCCCGCGCGGGGAGCCCACCTCCCAGCCCGCGACTGCGCTCTGGGCCCGCGCGCCCCGCCCCCACAGGAGACCTGCGCGGAGGCGGCACCGCGGCCGCAGGCTGTGACCCACCGGGTCTGCGGCCAGTGGCCTGAGGGGCATCCCAGCTTTTTCACGGCGAGAGGCGGAGCGGTAGCCCCGGGACTGGGCTCCAGGTGGGCTCTAGGGAGGATGAAGCAGGTAGGGCCGCAGGGATGCTGGGAGTGGAAGGATGATGAGGAGGATGGGAGGAGCCTGCGGGAGCGCTGGGGAAACAAGGGGAGTAGGAGGGATGCGCGAGGCGGGGGCCTGGGCCCGGCTGGACCCCAAATGGGCTTGAGGGCGGAGATGGCCTTGAGTCGCAGCCGAAAGGGAGGGGCCCGGTCTGCAGGGAGGATGAGGTGGGCTTTGCACCACGGGTGGGTGGGTCTGTCACTCGCCTTTGGTGTCCTCCCTCCCCCCACCTCCACCCCCATCCCAGGCCCTGGTGGATGACACTGAGGATGTGTCCTTGGACTTTGGCAACGAAGAGGAGTTGGCCTTTCGGAAAGCCAAGATCAGGTATGCTTGAACTGGCTGTGGGCAAGCATCCCCCAAAGCTGCAAATTCATTCCACGTTCATTCATTCACTCACTCATTCATTCAGAATGTATTGAGCACCTAGTGTGTGCCAGGCATGGGCTAGAGACACATCCTGGACACATCAAAGTTCCTGCCCTCCTGGCAGGAGGCTGGAGAGGTGGACTAGGGCTTGGAGCCTGCAGTCTGTGGGGGGAGGGGGGAAGGGGAGAAGCGGGATGGGGAGACCTAACATTGAACAGGCAAACAAAGATCTTTGGGGGGAAGTCAACAGTGTGATTGAGGAAAGGGAAAGTGACTGGGCAAGACCACTTGCCTTAGCACAGTCAGGGAGGGCGTCTCTGGAGAGGTGACATTTGAGCTGAGACCTGAATGAGATTTCCACCCGGAAGGAACAGCAGGCACAAAGACCCTAAGGCCGCGTTGGAAGGTCAGAGAAAATCTTCTATGTCTGGAGGGTGACGGAAAAGGAGAAAGGACTTGGCAGGAGGCTGGAGAGGTGGGCAGCTTGGATTTCTATTCTAACCCCTGCTTTAGTTCCAGCCAGCCAGCCAGGCAGTCCTGGGTCGAATCACTTCCCGCCTGAGGCGCGGCACCACAGAAAGTGGCAGGACTAAGGTGTGAAAACCGACCCATGAATGTGGTTGCTGATGACCCAGCAGCTGCCACATTAGAAACACCCAAAGCTCAGCCGCACTCACTCACCTGTGCTCCATCTCTCCTCCCGGCCATCAGAGCCAGCAGGCGTGGGGACCTGGCACCTACATGGCATGCCTTTTACGTTCTCTGATCCAAATCCAAGAAACCTCAGAATGAGATAGGACAGTATTAGCTTCCCAGGGCCACTGTAACAAATCACCATAAACTTGTTGGCTTAAAACAACAGGAATGTATTCTCTGACAGTTCTGGAGGCCAGAAGTCCAAGATCAGTTTCACGGGCGGAAACCAGTGTGCCCGCAGGGCCACACTCGCTCTGGAGGCCCAGGGGGGAAGATCTGTCCTTCGTCTTTTCCGGATCTGGTGGCTGCCCACTTGGGGCCCCTTCTTCCATCCTTGAGGCCAGCAGTGTAGCATCTTCAAATACTCTCTGCCCCATTCTCACATTACCTTTTTCCTCTGTGTCAAATTCCTTTGCCTTCCTCTTATAGGGTTACTTGTAGTGCATTTAAAGGCCGGCTGGATCGTCTGGGATAAGTTTCCCATCTCAACCAACTTAATCACATCTGCAAGGTCCCTTCCGCCATATGTGGTAACCCTCACAGGTTCCGGGGAGTAGGACCTGCATGTTTTGGGGGGCATTATTCAGCCGACCATAATGATCAGAGAAAGACATTGTGAAAGAACTGGGATCCTGGGGCAAGAATCTTATATAGCATCTAAGCTCAGTGTTTATTGAGCACCTCCTGTATGACTGGGACTATGTGGTATAAGGACACCTCCCCCTGCCTTTATGGAGTTGCCCAGTCGAGAGCAGAGATGGTCAGCCTCGACACTGCCAACATTCTGGGCCAGGCACTTCTTGCTATAGGGACCGTCCCGGGCATTGCAGGATGGTTAGCAGCATCTCTTGCTTCTACTCACCAGATGCCAGAAGCACCCACCAATAATGTCTCCAGACACTGCCAAATGTCCCCCCAGAGGCAAACTTGCCCTCATTGAAAACCAGTGGTGTGGGGTGGGGTATAGGGTGTAGGTATGCCCGTGGCTGCTACGACAGTGTTTCATACGTGGGCACTTGTCCTGGGCAGGGGAAGAAGTGACAACTGAGCTGAGACCTGAGGAATGGGCGTGGGGGGGTGGGGTAATTAGCTAAAGCAGGGGAAAAGATGGGGTGTCACAAGCACAGGCTTAGAGTTAAGATGAGTTTAGGGAGCTGAGAGTGGTTTACTGGGGAGCAGACTGGGCAGAGACTGGGGCCCACACCCTGAAGGGCTTATACTTACGGATGTGTGATGTCTGAATGGGAATCTACTATATCTGTGCTGTCAAATAGGGTAGCCACCAGACACATGTGGCTGCTGACAGTTGCTCTGTGGCTGGTGTAACCAAGGGCCTTCCAGCCGGGTCTGTTAGCTTTAATATGCTGACTGCTGTTCGCTTTAGCCTCTGGCATTAAATAGTCCCAGTGGCTACCCTACTGCACAGTGCAGTTCTAGAAGTGGAATTCGTACAGGGCAGTGACACGATCAGAATCCTAGCTGGAACGAAAGAAGGATACAAGGGCGTGACACAGCATCTGCATCTCCTTGGGAGACCCAGCCCCCACCCCACACACCTACATGGCCCAGGTCGGGCCGCCAGAGGCCAAGGCCAGGGTGTTGTGGGTCACCCTGAAGCCTAGAAGCTTCAACCTCTGTTTCCTGCAAACCTTTCTATGACTCTGTTCACCGAGATGGCTACCTGCCTGCCAGCTCAGCTCCTCCAGCCCAGGGGCTGTTCCACGCAGGTCACTCCCAGGCAAGCCTGGTATTTACCCTTTGTTTACAGTGACTTTGAACAAGTCAGGGCACCTTCCGGATCCCCATTTTCTCATTTGTAAAATGGGGAAGATTAGTCCCATCGTAGGGTTGTGTAAAGAGGACTAAATCAAGTGACAAACTTACGTAACAAGACCTGTGGGAGCCCTGACACCTCATGTGGGCTCCATAAATGGTACCTGTTATCTGACTCCAAGTGGGACTTCTGTGTCCTTGGGGCAGAGGCACGTCCTCGGCTGGAGCAGGACGTCGCGCTGGGGTTGTCCTTGGAGCGGGAGACTGTCCCTCCTGTGGAAAGTTTGTTTATGCTTTGAGGGCACTGGCTTCACAAATTCATTTAGACCAGTGGTTCTCAACCTTCCTAATGCCGCGACCCTTTAATATAGTTCCTCATGTTGTGGTGACCCCCAATCATAAAATTATTTTCGTTGCTACTTCATAACTGTAATTTTGCTACTGTTATGAATCTTAATGTAAATATCTGATATGCAGGATGTATTTAGGCGACCTCTGTGAAAGGGTCATTCGACCCCCAAAGGGTCTTGACCCACAGGTTGAGAACTGCTGATTTAGACCCAAAGGTCATGGATTTCAATGGATTCCCACCCAAAGCAGGATGGTCTCCTCTGGCCTCAGACGGGTTCCTTGCACCTGATTTGGGTGGGAATTGTTAGGGTTGGTTTGGTCAGCGTTTCGTGCTTAGTCCTCACTCAGCCCAAGGGGCATCCAGTGAGAAGAACACCAAGGGGAGTCACATGTTAGTGGGGACCAGGTCCCCAGGGAAGACCCACATGAAATCAAAACTACCTTTGCAAATCCCTAACCAGTGTCTCCAGTAGAATGACACTTTGTCTTTCAAGTAGTCTTTCATGTCAATTTATCTTCCCACGTTGGATATAAAAGCTGTTCCTCAAAATGAGCTGCAGAGGAAATTGTTGGCTGTGTTTTAGGGGAAGTGATTTTGAATGAAAAACAGTAATAGCAAACACTTTCCTAGCACTTACATGCAGGCACTATTCTAGGTGTTTTGCTCATTATAATTCATTTAATCTGTATTACAAACCTATGAGGTAGACGCTCTGACTTTTATTGGTTTCAGGATGACAGAAATTGAGGGAAAG